AACAACCGGTTCTCTGCCCTAATGACAAGTTGGGTAGGCGTGGCTCGGTGGTCATGTGACTGTGTGGGAGTGGCCAACTCAACATCACTCAGATTGATGGGCGCTTCGCCTTAGCTGATACAATGTAATAAAGGTTAACCAGCGAGGCAGTTTCTGTAAGCAGGGTAATAAAGAGTAGGCTAGATATAACACCAGAATGTTTCCTTCCTGCTTCCTTACAGGATTAGCCTTGTAAAGTGGAAAAAAATAAAAGGAGATTTCTTCCAACAACCGGTTCTCCAAACTGCTTAGAAAGTTAACAACCGGTTCTCCCGAATAGGTGCAAACTGGCTGAATCCCACCACTGGGTGTGCCCCACCATAAGACATAGTTTGATCCAACCATGCCAGATAATCTCTCTCCAATCTCCAACCTACTATTTTTTTTGGGAGGGGGGAGAAAGTTGTGGGAAGGGTGGTTGGGCTTTCACTCCAGAGGAACCTGGAGGAAATGGATTATGTAGACCTGTTCCAGTTAGGATTCAGTGCAAAGATTATATTGGTCGCACTTGTTGATGACCTGTGACAGAGCTGGAATGCGGAGGGTCTTGATCTTCCTTGATCTGTCAGTAACTTTTGATACCTCAACCATGGTCTGTTTTGGGACTACTTAAGGGGTCGGGAGTGGAAGGCACCATTTTATGTTGGCTCTCCTGCTTCCTTTGTGGTCAATTTCAATCGGGGGGTAACCAAGGATGCTTGGTCAGTGCTGGGAACGGTGTTCTCGAGTGCTGCAAGTCTCGACATCCTCTCCTCTGGTTTAACAGCTATATGAAACTTGCACATTTACATACATGTACACATTTACATACATGTACATATTACCTGTACATTCTAAATGTTAAGCCTGGCTTAACATTTACATGAAGCATCAATATGCTGATGAAGCCCAATTATGTATCTTGGGCCAACCAACTGATGCTGTTAAAATCTTGTTGCAGTATCTGAAGGCTATATGTGCCTGGCTGGGGGGAACAGTCCTAGGCTCAATCCAGACAAATTGCATTGTTGTGGATCGGGGTGGTATTGAGTTTGACACCTCTGAATCTGGTTAGTAACCTAAAGACTGTATTCACCACATTAAGCTACAGAATGTTTAATTCAACTACATATGCTAGTTTTGTGGCCACTCAAGAAATAGTCAGGCACAGGAAGGGTTTTGTGGCTCCTGGTGTTTTCTTTTTATTTATTTTATTTTATTTATTTTATTTACAAATATATATATATGCCGCCCTTCTCCCAAAGGAGTCAGGGCGGCGAACAAAAGTTAAAAACATAGAGAAAAATCCTAATTAAAACCAATTAAAACAAGAAACAAATAAAATAAAACCCAAGAATCAGAATCAGCCCACTTGTTGAAACAGCCAAGTCTTTAGGCCTCGGTGGAAGGAGCGGAGATCAGGCGCCGTCTGGAGCTCGGTGAGTAACTCATTCCAGAGGGCAGGAGCGCCCACAGAGAACGCTCTACCCCTGGGCGTCGCCAGCCGACATTGTCTGGTCGACGGTATCCTGAGGAGGGCAGCCCTGTGTGAGTGGACAGGACGGTGGGAGGCGGTAAGAGATGGTCCTGCAAGTACCCCGGACCTAAGCCATGAAGGGCTTTATAGGTAAGTACCAGCACCTTGAAGCGGATCCGGAGGACTACTGGTAACCAGTGCAGCTCGCGTAGGAGAGGTGTTTCACGGGAGTAACAGGGAGCTCCTTAACAACCCGCGCGGCCGCATTCTGGACCAGCTGGAGCCTCCGGGTGCACCTCAAGGGCAGCCTTGAGAGGGAGTTGCAATAATCCAAGCGAGAAGTAACCAGGGCATGAGTGACCGTGCGAAGGGCATCTCGGTCTAGGAAAGGGCGCAACTGGTGCACCAGGCGAACCTGCGCGAAGGCCCCCCTGGTCTGTGGGAAATGGGTCCAAATGGCTCCTTGAGTGTTTAAGGTTGCAGACCCCTGGTTTAGTGGGTTGTGCAAACATAGCCATTGTGGTGTGTAGCCCCGGACCTGCTGTTTTGTGTGAGGAGGTATCCATGTCCTTGACTAAATAAATTGTCATTAAAATACTACTTGGTGAAATGAGTTAGAAGTTCAGAAGAATGGCATTTTCTAAAGTGTAATTCTAGGAATTGGAGGAAGTGATACTCGCTTTTCCACCTGCATTGTATTATTTATTACATTTCTGCATGGAACACGGTTGAAATAATTTACTCAAAGTCAGAGACGAAAACCCGAGAGCTGTTGCTGCCCTGGTGTGAGAGATGATGATAGTAACCTTTTAGACATAAAACAAGTATGCTTTTCAGGAGTAACTCAGGGTTACCTTTTCCATTCTTCGTTATGTGACTTCCTGCAGAGGAAAAGCTATCATCTTTGCATTCAGCCATGGGACAGATGGCTGCAGACCTACGTTTTAAAAGTAAATTGAATCCAGCATTTTGAGGCAAAAGTATTATATCCAGGGATGCTATTCAGCAGGTTCGGACAGGTTCTGGAGAACTGGTAGCGGAAATTTTGAGTAGTTCGGAGAACCGGCAAATACCACCTCTGGCTGGCCCCAGAGTGGGGTGGGAATGGAGATTTTGCAATATCCTTCCCCCAGGAGTGGGGACGGAATGGGAATTTTGCAGTATCTTTCCTCTGGAGTGGGGTGGGAATGGAGATTTTGCAGTATCCTTCCCCTGCCACACCCACCAAGCGACACCACACGGACCAAGCCATGCCCACTGAACTGGTAGTAAAAAAAATTGAATTCCACCACTGAGTATATCCAAAAAAAAAAAATCTTGGTGCTCTTATGCACGCCCCTTACAGACATCTTAGGAATGGGGTGAGGTCCACAGTAGACAATCTAAGGTTAAAGTTTTGGGGGTTTGGGGAAGAGATCATGGAGTCAGGTAGTGCATTCCAGGCTTTGACCACTCTGTTGCTGAAGTCGTATTTTCTGCAATTGAATTTGGAATGGTTCACTTTAAGTTTGTATCTATTGTGTGCTTGTGTATTGTTGTGGTTGAAGCTGAAGTAGTCATTGATGGGTAGGACGTTGTAGCAGATAATTTTGTGTACTATGCTTAGGTCAGACCGAAGGCGGCGTAGCTCTAAGTTGTCTAAGCCCAACATTTCAAGTCTGGTAGCATAAGGTATTCTATTGCGGGTAGAGGAATGGAGGACTCTTCTCGTGAAATAGCTCTGGACTCTCTCAATTGTATTAATGTCCGATATGCAGTGCAGGTTCCAGACAGATGAATTTCTCAAGGGCGAACAAATAGAAAGGAAGCAGGGCCCGTCTAACATTATCCAAGCAGAAAATCCAGCATGGCATTGAAAATCAGTAATTCTCTTCTCAACCAATAGAGCCGAGGTGGTGCAGTGGTTAGGGTGCAGTACTGCAGCTACTTCAGCTGACTGCTAGTTCAGCAGATCAGCGGATCAAATCTCACCGGCTCAAGGTTGACTCAGCCTTCCATCCTTCCGAGGTGGGTAAAATGAGGACCCAGATTGTTGGGGGCAATATGCTATTTAGTATACTGTCTTTGGTGTAAGCCGCCCAGAGTCCTCAGAGAGTGGGCGGCATAGAAATATGACAAATAAATAAACCGACTCAGAACATGTGCCAAATTGTGAGAACTTCTTCAAGGAGATAAGTATCGAACTTACCCTGTATTTTTCTTTAATTATCTGAGCATGTTAATTTATTTCCTTTTTTTTTTCTGATTCTTTTCCCAATGCAGTCCGTTGTTGGTTTTTTTGAATCTAGAAATGTGGCTTCATTCTTTCACGAATTGATCATTAAAAGCGTGAAATTTAACCAGCTTGATTTCAGGATTGGCGCACAAGGTTTGTTAAATTCTGTGTTTGTGGCCTATGGCTGGATCCACAGCATCTCTACTTTGTTAGAGCTGGTCTGAAGGAAGAAGACTTTGTTATGGCAAGAATGATCACAGTGGGAAGTTCAGATGGCATTTATCATAGGCGTCTTCTACTGAAGAATTCATGGATAAGATCTGCCAGGGATATTCAAAATTACCCTCCTCCCCCTTCATAACAGAGAGCTATCATTTTCTTTCTCAAGAAGTTGGGTAAATTCGTGAAATCACGAGTAATCTTATCTGCTCAAGGACAGCAAGTTTTTGAAAGGCATAATTAATCTGAAAAAAATGATGGGGTTTTTTTGTGTGTGTGTTTTGTGAACTGCGCCCAAAATAGACTTTAATCTTTTTCTAAACTATTAAGACTGCATTTTAAATACCAAGGGGATTCATATATTGACCCTGTTGTCTTTAACCAGTTAATTAAATCCCAATTGCCTAAACTCACAAAACACGCTATGTGAAAATCAAAACAGCAGTATGAAATAGGATGACACGAGCCCACCTTATGCAGCAAAATATTCTGATTTCCATACCTTGTGCAGGTATCATAAATATTTGAAATAGGCCATTTGACACACTAAGAGACCCCCCTCCCCTCAAATTAGCTATCAATGGAATTTGCACAGAGAAAATAATAAAAACAGGCAAGGAGGAGGAAAAAATCACCAAGCCACACCTATAATGGCAGAATGAAAGTGGGAATAATGGCTACAGTGCCTCAGATAGCAAGTCCATACAGAGAGTGGTAAGGACAGCTGAGATTATAGGACGCTTGTTTCCTGTTATTCAGGTTACTGCTTATAAGCGCTATGTGCTTGGAGCTCAAAGCAATGTTAGAGACCCCACACACCCACTTTACGATCTGTTTCTGTTGCTCCTCTCTGGGAGGAGGTTTTGAAATATTTCTAGCAGGACTACCTGATTCTGTAACAGCTTTGCTCCCTATGCCACCTATCTGGTAAACTTGCAAGATTCATTTTTCTCGCCGTGGACACTTATACATCCGGACTAGACTGTGGTGTTTCTCTGTGTCATAAAATATATGTGGGTATATGCATAATTTTGTATTTTATTTATTTTGCCATGTTTATATAGTGCATGTTGGAGATGTTGACCCTTTGAGAGCTGTATGCATCGAAATTTCATTTTCATGTATGCCGATTAGTGTACATTCAAAGTGACAATAAAGTTATTCTAAATTCTAAGTTCTAAATGGACTGTGCAGAAATCAAGAATGCTGGCTGGAGACTTGGCGGACTTCCAACCCTGAGACAGAGGGTTTTTACACGCAGTCAATTTCCAGACTGTCCTTTCTCCCTTCTTCACCGAAAAGGCTTTCAAGCCATGATGGGATTCAGCTCCTGCAAAACTCAAAAATTGCAAATTCTGCCAAACACACTTCAGGAGTTGCTGAGGGAAGAAATCCTCCAAACCAGGGAAAAGGTAGAAAATGCGAGGGTAGGATATTTCAGACTTTTTCCAACCTGTGAGTTAAAAATAAAATATCTGAAGCCCAGCAGCCCACCTACTCCATCTTTCTCCGCTTCCGTACCTTTTAAGTCCATCTTTCTCCGCTTCCGTACCTTGTAATACAGAGAAAAGGCACTTTCATCCATGCTGTGATTCTTAGGTCAACCTTGCAGGCACAGCATAATAATGCATTACCTTTTTGCTGGAGCAGTTCTTCTAAAACACCAAAGATGACGGATCTTCTGCAGAACTCAGCAGGTTGTCCTTTTTGCAGTCTTTTGGGATATTTCTAAAAAATGTGGATAGTGATGGAAAGGAAAAGAACGTGCAGAGTTGAGGGATGAGATCTGTACTTAGCACAAAGTGTTTTTGGTAGGGTAAGAGTTCAGGTTGGACTCTTGGAGGTTAAAGGTCAGAGTTTTGGAGAGTCTCAAGCAAAAAAATTGCTCCACTCTATTTCTAGGTGGAGATCTGGGAACTTTTATAAGGCAAGGTTCAACTGTTAAGCAATTGATACCCCCAAAAAGTCGGTATCCTGGCCTCACCTACTCCCTTTTAAACATAAATTTAAAGTTATCCAACGGAATCATGTATGTGAGATTGGCGAGGATATGCAGTAAATCAAATATAAATTTGACTTGAAAATATTTATTTGCAACCATAGTTATTAGCAAAGTTCATATAAAATTAAAACAATCCATATCAGTTCAATATATCTCCTTCACTACATAACAGCACTATAAATAAATACAGAAAATCAATGCAAAAGGCATACTCTTCGCTTTTTTGTCTCCAGGACAATTTTGAGAGTTTAGTGAAACTTACAGATCCCTTTGCTGAGAAATATATTTAATGGCATGAAGTGAAATAAGACTGCATTACAAAGGAAACCAACGATGCTCTCAAAGGTAGTTGAGAAAATATCACTGTCCCCCCAAAACAGAAATATAGGATTGCACAGGCTATTTTCTTAATCCATGTAGAGTAATTTAGATAGACTTATCAAAGGTAGCAAATCTCTTTGGAGCCGAGAGAGGCCATACATCACTTGGTAGTTCTACCTGAACAAAGAGTGATTTTAGGGGAAATAAAAGCTGCTGATTCATTCCTTAACTTTCGGGCCAAAATTTATATATATTTTTAAATGTTTTAATATTTGTATTCTATGTTTTTTATCTTGGCTGTACACCGCCCTGAGTCCTCAGGGAGAAGGGCGGTATATAAATTGGAAATTAAATAAATTAAAATTAAATTCCCTGGTGGAGAAGCCCAAATTCTGGGCCAAAACTGAGATCCTAAAGCTCAGACAAACAGATCACAGTTGATCAAAATTCCTTCCTGGGTTTTTTAAAGCCAGCTCTAAACTAGGATGCTGGAACACCCACACACCATTTTTTCCAATTCACTACAGCTTTTTAACTGTCTGTAAAAAGCCTCCTCAACATCCAGCTCACTTTCTGGTCTACTTTGCAAAGGCGTTGTGGGTTTTTTTGCCACCGTCTTCAACCTCCAAGCCCAGGAATAGGATCTCCCGGTGGTGCCCCATCTTAACCCTAAGCCTGACTAGGTGGCTCAGTGGCTAAAGACATTGAGCTTGTCAATCAGAAAGGTCGGCAGTTCGAATCCTTAGTACAGGTCTCCTGGGTTGGACTAGATGACCTCCAAGGTCCCTTCCAACCTCTGGTTACTCTTGCATAAATGCTACCTAAGTCTGCCCCCTGCTGAAGGGAAAAGAGGACGACACGCCTTTCAGTCCCGGATCCCTCCAGGATGATCCATGTCGGTAAAGCCGTGTGTGTTCTGCCCACAACTACCAGCCCTAGGATTTCCAGGTGGTCTCCCATCCCTGGCAAGCCTCCTGTAATGCAGGGGTGGCCCTTTTACAACCTGTGGACTTCAAGTCCCAGAATTCCTGAGACAGCCAAGCTGGCTCAGGAATTCTGGGAGTTGAAGTCCACAGGTTGTAAAAGGGCCACAGTTGATCACCCCTGCTGTAATGTAACGGACAGAGATCCTTACGCGCAAGGAGGGCGTAGCGCCCCAGCATTCAAAGCCCTCCGCCAGGTTTCCCAGGCGACGGAGGCCACGCCCCGCGACGACACCCCTCCCTCCGCCTCTCCCTGAGGGCGGGGCGGCGGCGCTTGCCGGAAGCGGAAGCCGCTGCCGCTCCTCCCGGGGAGCGCCACGGCCAGGAGGAAGCGGTGTCGGCACGAGCCCATCGGCGGTGGGTCTCGCGAGCGGGGAAGGCATGGGCAGGAGCGGCGGGGAACGATGGGGGGGGAGATGATGGCAGGCGGTCCCTTGGGAGGGCGGCCTTTCAGCGCCTCGCTTCGCCGCCTTTGGGAAAGGCAGCACCGAAGGGTGTGTGGGGGGGTGGGGTTGCCCACGGCTTCCCCCCTTGGACGGGAGCTTCCGGTTCTAGCGGGAGGGAGCAGCAAGCGGGGAAGCCTAGACCGTCCCCTCTTTAGGTAAGGCCAAACCGGAAACGTGACCTGAAAAGCGCGGGAATTCGGCCTGGTTGGACGAGGCCTTGCTTTTGAGGCGCCCCGCTTGAGGCCCCGACGGGGCTTGCGAGCGGGCAGCCGCGTCAAAACAAAACACGCGCTGTTTGGGAGGACAGCCGTGGCTTTCGCTGTCGTGTAGGGCGGTGTTTTTTTTTTTCCGCCACCTCATCCCCTTTTTAAGATGGTTGGGCTCCACCCCTCATCCGCCCTCAAAATAAACTGCCTGGGGAATTCTGGGAATTGGAGTCCACCCAGGGGAGGCGGTTGGGAAACGTTGGCGTAGAGGAGAAAGAGAGAGGAATATAAACCGCATTTCAAAACTATGCTGCCTTGAAAAAAATACGGTGCTGAAGACACGTTACATGTATTTTTCTGTTCCTAGTATGAATTCTGAATTTGTTTCTTCAGCTCTGGAGACTGTAGAGGCTGGCTGAGGAATTCTGGGAGTTGAAGTCCACAAGTCTTAAAGTGGCCAAGGTTGGAGACCCCTGGTGTAGAGTATTCCAGTATTTGAGGGGCTGCCACAAAGAAGAGGGGACCAAATTATTCTCCAAAGCACCAGAGGGCAGGACAAGAAACAGTGAATGGAAACTAATCAAGGAGAGAAGCAACCTGGAACTGAGGAGAAACTTCCTAACAGTGAGGACAATTAACCAGTGGAACAGCTGGCCACTAGAAATCATGGGCGCTCCGTCACTGGAGGTTTTCAATTTGAGACTAGACAGTCATTTGTCTAAAATGGTATAGGGCAGGGGTGTCCAAACCTGGCCCCTTGAAGAGTGGTGGACTTCAACTCCCCGAATTCCCCAGCCGGCATGCGCTATAAATATGAGCAAGTTGCTGGCTGGGGAATTCTGGGAGTTGAAGTCCACCACTCATCAGGGGGCCACATTTGGACACCCCTGGTATAGGGTCTCCTGCTTGAGAGGGGGGGCTGGACTAGAAGACCTCCAAGGTCCCTTCTAGCTCTATTCCTATTCCTTGGTTACAGGTTCCCTCCTGTGAGTCAGGAGAAAAACTAGGGGATCAAGGCTTGTTCAATGCTGCATGTGTGATTAGTCTCTTGTAGGGGATCCTCTTTATTGCTTTATTACTTTCTCCATTTCGGACCTGCAATCACAGCATTGGGGTTGTTGGAGACTCATAGAAGTCATTTTGTTGCATCTAATCCAGATCTTTGAGACTGCGCTATGTGGCATGAGCAAGGGGATCCTCCATGTCTTGGGGTCTTCATCTTTCGGGGGCATATTGATTGGGAAACTGGCTTTTAACCCTTTCTGGCAAGCCAGTTTGACTGGGCTCTTGTTTGAAAATAGGCTGATATCCTTGCCTTTCGTCCACAGCATTATGACCTCATCAGCTACCCATCAGAGCTGTGGGCTGATCCAGGCACAGCTTTTGCTGGTGGGGGCTTCTCAGTGGAGGGATACCAGGAAAAACATATTTGTGGAGCCCCAGTTTTGCAAGAAGGCAGCTTCTGTGCAAGCATGGTGGGGTGGCACTAGATTCTTTAAAGAAACATCTGTTGGTCAAACAGGAACTCCCATCCAAAGTTCCTAATGCCAGGAATAAACATATAAAACTTGATGACTGACATTGACTGTTGAAAAATTTGGAGTTTTAAAGAGGCTGCGGGAAGTCAACAAAATGGCTGCTTTGCAGGATGACCTGTCACAAAACAACTTCATGGAAGAATGGCAAATGAACCTGTCCTCCCACTATTTTCTCTATATAAAAGTAAACCAGAGTTTATTTTTGCTTTGGGAGAAGATATGTGTGCACCTTTCCGAACAAAGCACTGGGGTGTGAACATGCATTCTCAGTTTCCAAAGAATTCTTGCTCATATGCAAAAACTGAGCATACTTGGAAATTCCATACTAGATGTTGGTGCTTTGCACTGTGCTAGCTTCTTTTTTATTTTGTTTTTAAACTTAAACCCTTTAAGATATGGCACTTGCATGCCTCCCTTATTAGGAACCCAAGAGTTGCTGTGTGAAGACCCTGGCCATCCAGAGTACTTTGGGGCTGTTTTTATAGTATCTGTTTGGGGGGGGTTCATCCAGCCAGAGGGACATCAGATGTGTACATATAGTGGCAAGGATGATGGATAGTTGCAACTTCAACCTGTCAGCAATTTGCAGTTTGGCTCTCAAGGAGTAACTCAGCCTTCCTTTTTCTTCAAGCCCCAAGATAGACTACCATGTTTTCCCAAAAATAAGAACCTGTCTTATATTTTTTGAACCCCGAAATAAGCGCTTGGCCTTATTTTTGGGGGGCATGTGGAGCAAGATGGAGTTCCTCTTGCCATCTTACCTGATTTCCAGCTCTGTGTTTAAATATTTGGGGGGAGTATTATTTTCAGGGGGAGACTTACTTTAGCGCATGCGCTCAAAAGCCCGATTGGGTTTATTATCAGGGGATGTCTTATTTTCAGGGAAACAGGGTAGAAACTTCCCAAATTCATATCCTTCATAGCTTTTATAGAACCAGCGTCTCTGGGAAACACAACAGTGGGACATCTGAACTAAATTTGCCTCTTCCAACACCCCAATTCTGTATGACGGTGTGGAATTTGAGTAATGTCATTTGGCAGATCATATTCTCATGTTACTGTTGTTAGTGACATGTCCCAGTTTTTCTGGGAGATCGCAAAAGTAATTTACTTTGTCTCTTCCAGTTTCATCTGTATAGCAGCATCTCTGGCTGGTCAGAAGTGTAACAGTTCCTTGAGAGTGTATCTTAGTAAATAGGGTACCTGAAATGTTATGCAACATTATTACTATCTTTGGTTATTAGATCTAATTAATATCTCTGGTTATCAGGCTATAAAGGTCCTGATTTTGTCATCCTTTTTTTCTAAAAACTAGATCTGAAACAGAACTAACTGTTGCTTGCTGTGATGCAGTAGTGCTATAAAATGGCTAAAAGAGTGGCAGAGACGGAACTGACTGACAGAAACTGGGATCAAGAAGAAGAAACGGAAGAGGTAAACAAGGCTTGCTTTCATTAATTTAGAGCAACAGTGTGTGAAGTACACAAATATATGTCGCCTTATTTTTGGTATGTGTGAAGAAAATACTTCCCAAAACTGGGAAGGTAACGGGCCAGTTTGTCCAGCCTTTCTGAGTCAAGAGCAAAGCAGTCACAGGGAAAAATCTGTCTCATATAACTTGTCTCTATATGAAAAGTATGGGGTTACCAGTGTATTGATTGTTGTAGTATTAAAGTTGATCTGTCTTGTATAATTAAAAACGGATATGAACTCATGCAGACTTTATTGGTAATACATGCCAATTATAATGACTTATTGTAACCTTTGAAATTTGGACTTCTCTGTTTTCTTCCTGATGATACAGTAACAGCTTCTTAAAAGAAGCTTCTTTATTGCCTGCCCCTGATGGGGCCTCACTAATGAGGGAATCAAGCCAAAAAGTAACCACTTTTAAGTGCTTCTTAAGCAAGGGAAGGAAATCACACATTTGTGCTGAGCCATAGATAGGGCTATGTTGTGTAGGCTCTTCGTGCAGTGACGTTGCCTTCAAAATCTAAGATTTTGATAATTACACCCCAATATCTTGCAAGGTTTCAACCTTCTCACACACCAGGCAGAGCCAATCTGGAGGCCACGTGCATCACATCAGCTAATTGTTTTCTCCTGGATTGTAACAGGACTGAGTTTCTTCCCTGGGATTGATGCTGAGCTCTTGGTAGTGATGGTTTTCACAATGTTTAGTCAAGATGGCTAGTCATAGAGATCAGTAATTTATAAAGCAACTATTTCTATTGAGAATATTACCAACGAAACACACTGTTTGAAAAACAGTATAATTAGGATTGTTTTTATTCACACATGCCATTGGGTAATTGTGTTTCAGTTCACATTAAAGCGCTCGCAGTTTCATGCAACATAACAGCTACAGGAGAAATCTGCTGTTAAAATTATTCTTGGACATTACATCAGCATGATTCTGACTTCCAAATTCTCCAAGCAGATCTGAATTTTGTGAATGCTTCCAATAAAAACCGATAAATATTTCAAGCAGTGGTGTGAGAGTTCTAGAAAATTTTGATTTAATTATCCTTTACCTATATCTTCCCTGTCTTCCATGTTCTATCATCAATTAGCTTAAGATGTTAACTCATTATTTAGTTAGCTTAAGATTACTTATTATTTCGAGTAAATAATAAGTAGGCTGCGATCCTGTGATCCCCATGCTGTGGATCATACCACAGTTCAGAATTCCATTCTCTGAGAGGAACTTTGTTGATTCCTTTCCTCTCCATCTGTTAATGGAGAAAGTTTTATCATTGTTTATATCGCTGTTTCTCAACCGGGACAACCTGAAGATGTGTGGACTCCAACTTCCAGAATGCCCCAGCCAGTATGTTGGCTTGGATATTCTGGGAGAGTCCATACATCTTTAAGTTGACATGCTTGAGAAACACTGGTCTATATCCTTTGACTGTGTGTCCAAGTTACTCTTGCGTTTATAAGCAAAATCTACGAGTGTGGTGCAGCATGAAGATGTTGGATTGGCTCTGTTCCAGTTCTCTTTCAGCCATGGATCCCCCTTGGGAGACAGAACTACCTCTCAACCCAATCTGCCTCCCAGTTGCTATAGGAAAATAATTAGAATTGGAATCACTGCATTCCATTTAGAGCTCTTGAATGTACCGGTAGTCCTCAACACTACATCTCTTCATTTAATGATAGTTCAAAATTACAACCTGGAACTTACGACCTGTACTCACACTTATGACTGTCACACCGCCCCTGCAGTTGAGGTGCGTGACAACTGGCTCACATTTACAACTGGTTGCAGCATATCAGCAGCCACATAATCGCAATTTACAACCCTTTTTGCCAACTTCTGGCAAAATCTGCCCACTGTACAAATTGTCATAAATTTGGGTCCAGCTTGACTTAAAACCCCAAGGATTTACAACAAAATCTGATCCCAGTTGTAATTGTAAGATTAACCTATATGGTGGGTTTTATATATACTGTATGTATAGGAAAGAAGGAAGTAATTCCATAATAAAAACTAACGTGAATGTTAGAATCTCTTACAGGACATCCTTGTTATCTATAAATAGAAATAATTACGGTTTTTCTGAAAGCAATTTAATGATTTCTAAAGTTCATTGGGTAAATTGCAATAAATATGCTTCTTAAAAATAATGACTAATTTGAGGGGAATCTGTCAGTTGACATCTTTTGGGAAATATTTATGGAAAACATGTTCTAAATATTTTGAACAAGTCAGTGAGCAGCTATGATACCCAGAAATGATTCATAAATAATCATCCGCAGTGCTGTTATAAAATTTGAACATGCCAAGCAATTGCATATTGCAATACAACATTGAACCTCGTGGTGTTAATAGTGGATGGTTACACCAAAGAGCCGGAGTAAGAAAATGGGTTTTGCTGGGATTTGTTTTTCCAGACTATTTTCATTTTGCTTGTCTAAGAATTTAAACATTCTCTGCAGGTAGGAACTTTCTCAGTGGCCAGTGAGGAAGTTTTGAAAAACAGACCAATTAAGAAGGCAAAGCGTAGAAATGTGACGAATGAGGTATATATATATATATATATTTACCATTTTAAAATAATCTTTCTGCTAATTTGTCTTAACTCCTTGCATTGCCTAAAAATAGTTTTGTCACTAATTGCTAGCTTATATAAACAGAACTCTTAACTAAATACTCAGACTAACATACTCAGACTAATATATAATTGAATTTCTTTTAAATTTTTGATGCAAAATATCATTTGTAATTCTAGAAGATTAATAATGTATGAAATGTGTCTCTGGGGGAACATTTGAAGAAGATAAGAATTCTGGAAGATTTTCATATTTCTAGCCATTCTTTTTCTAACAGCTGGGGAAGAGAGAAGTTTCTTTTTGTGGTTAGGTCCAACTATTAAAAAGCTTAGCTTTTCACTGTTTGTATGGATCCCTTACACTAAATAATAATAAAGGAAATTGAGTTCCCGTCTTTGACTCTCTCATCCAATAAAAGAGTGATTATGTTGATAAACGCTTGTATATTTTAATAGTAAAAACTTAGTTGGCAGAATGCAATATTGTACTTTCTTCAGGATTGTGTTAATTCCAAATAGTTATTCAGCTTCTATTATATATCTGCAACTGAATCATCTGAATTAGAAAACCAACATTTATGGAATTTAAAATTGCTGTTATTTATTTATTCCTGGTGATTTGTAGTGAATCCCATATACTCTTTCTAAACTCAGTTTATGACATATGAAAATGCTGGGAGAGCTAGCAGGATCAAGGGACTAAACTCAATATTTTTCAACCTCAGTAACTTTATAAATGAGTGGTTTTCAACTCCCAGGATTCCTCCAGGCTGCTAGGCTAATTCTGCAAATCCATATGATTTCCAAGTCTAGTGAAGTTGCCCTCCTTCAAACCGAAGCTTGAAGCATATCCTTTTTTTTGTGAGCCCTGCTAGCGCACAGGTCATCTTTTAGAATTATGTACTCTTGAGGCCTCTCTAGTCATTTGTAACTTAATGTTTGAAGAGGGCTAAAATGAATCTGTTTTATTATTAAGGATGTGTAGAACATTTTTAATTCAAAACATTTCTCTTTCAGCCGTAAGGTCAAAATAACCTGCTTTTAAAATAAGAACAGGGAGTTTAGAATTAAAAACATTTTGCCTGCTCTGACTAACTATTGATTTATCTTTGTACAGCAAGAAAAGTCATCTTTGGATGGCTCACAGCTTTTAGTTTTGAGTCAAGGGATTGACTTACACAGTTTATGCTGTTGGAATTTTCCCTGAGATGGAGTGGGTTTTTTTTAGCAGTCCAATATAATTTAAATTATACATCTATCTATCTGTCTGTCTGTCTGTCTATCATCTATCAATCAGTCATCTCCCCAGTACTTAACAATGCTAAATCTGATCTAACCTTTTTAACAAGAAGCTTTTAAGTTGCTGTTGAGTAATGATAGGAGGATTTATGTGCCCCCCCCACCCCGGTTGATGGTTCAGTTCTACAGAAAGAGGCTTTTCAAAGGCCATGCTGTGAAGTTCAACAGAAGGTGTCACGTAATGTGCTGAGCATCCCTCAAAAAAGAAAAGTGGCACGATTCTGGTTTTTCAAAATATTACTTTGGAGGCATTTTTGGATGGGTGCCATTGGAGGCTCCTGCCCAAGATATTTTCAGTTAAGGAAATGGAATGACATTTGTTAAAAGCAATGGCTAAAATAACTGGAAAGTGCCCACGAGAAGCAACATTTGGGAGAAATAAACCAAGAAGCCCACTTTAGACGTAGCACTAAGTTGATTCAGCTTCTGATTACTGTGGGAGAGAGGAGCGATGGCCATCAGGTATATCTGGGGTTTACTGCACATGCAGCCATCATGAAAAAATAGTAAGAAAATCTTATCCCTTCTGAATAGGCATAGGATGGCCTTGTAATCTGAGAAACAGAGAGTACAGTAACTTATTTCTGTTCTTTTTTCAGTCAGAAGGTGGCGGAGCTTTTAAGGGATTTAAAGGTTTCGTTTTACCCTCTGGGACTAGTATTTTTTCTGGTTTCGGGAATGGCTCTGGAACAAAATCTTTCGGAGGGTTATCCAATGGTGGCGGCAGCTCCAGCAGCATTACACACAGCGCTTCGCTCTCCAGCTTAAAGACGACTTCCGAAACAGAACCTACATTTAGTAAGTTCATTCATTTTCTTTTCTTTTTTTTTACTGGGGGAAATAATCTCAATATCTTCCAACAAAAATTATTTAAAAAAAAAAATGCTCTGTGGTTTAAAAAGGAAGGACTGCGTTTAGTTTGGGTTCCCTGAGGAGAAAGCTGCATTTAACCTAGTGGCATAAGGGTATTTTTTTAACATAAATCCAGTACAGGTAGTCCTGGGTGACAATTTCCGTTGTAAGCAAGGCAGTTGTTAAGTCAATCATATCCAATTATACAATCTTTTTTTTTTTTTGCCATTGTTGATAGGTGAATTGCTGCAGTTGTTAAGTGAATCATGTGGTCCTTAAGCGAATCTGGCTTCCTCCATTGACTTTGCTTATTGGAAGTCACTGGGAAGGCCACAAATGGCAATTTGTGTGACCTCCTGATACTTCAAATGTCACAAATAAGTGCCGATGACTAACTGTCCTGCTATTAGTGTGAATCTGTCTCTAGAGATTCTCAATCATCCAGGTGTCCCAAATGTGCTGTTTTTTTCCCCAAGAGGCAACTGGAATTCCTTGTTTTTTTTTCTTTAAAGACATTTCGCTTCTCACCCAAGAAAGCTGCTTCCGCTCTGACTGGATGGTGGAGAATGGAAGGAATTATACTCCTTGCAGACAGCTGGTCATTTGCGTTCTTTTAGAGAGTGATTGAGGCCACTTGGAAGTTTATCTGTGTCCTCAGGGTCACCTGAGTAGCGCAGATGGGTGTGGAGCCTCTGCAGGATGTTTTCTGCCTCGTGTCCCTTCACGGTTGAAGACGGGCGCAGGCTGTTGGGGATGAGTCTGTGTTGTCTGCATCTCAAATTGAAGCTCAAATGGTTCCTGTAGTCTGCAATTTTTCTGGAAATCCACTCATACTCCCTTACCATTCAAAGCGTGTTCATCCCAGTTTCCTGTTTCCCCGAAAATAAGACCCGACTGGAAAATAAGCCCTAGCACGATTTTTCAGGATGCTCGTAATATAAGCCCTCCCCCCCAAAAAATAAGCCCCAGTTAAGATTGTTAGCCAGATGGATGCATTTAGTACCGTATTTCCCCCCAAATAAGACCTAACCAGAAAATAAGCCCTAATGCGTCTTTTGGAACAAAACTTAATATAAGACCATGTCTTATTTTGGGGGAAACACGGTAGCTAAATGTCTATGGAGTCAGAACTGAAGAAGCTTCTTGGATGAGAAGCAAACCGTCTTCAAAACAAACCCCAAGAAAAATCCAAGTTGACTCTTGAAAAAAGCATCCTTGGGACATTAATGTGAATCATGTGACTGTGGACATGGTAAGATGGGTATAAGTGCGAGGACTGATCGCATCCTAATTTTTGCAGAGCTGTTGTAACTTTGAGCAGCGGCTAAATAAATGGTGGGAAGTCGAGGGCTACCTCCATCTATTCAATTGCCATTGAAACTTTTTTCAATGTTTTGGGGGCTTGTTTAGAACTTTGTTGGGGGGGGAGGTACGCTGCAAAACCCACCCTTGGTCTCTGTGTTAATCTGTAAGATCCTTTCTTGGAAGAACTTGGTTGTGATGTATGTTTTTCCTCCTTAAAGCATTATATCTTCTAAGTCACATTTGAATCATATTCTTCACATCTTGCCGGAAATAATAGGCAGCAGTTGTTAGATAAAACAGAACCTCTGAGAGAGAAAATGAGCATTCGTGCTGTTTTGTTACTTAGAAATGCCAATCGACTGGATCCAGTTACAATTCGAATAGAGCTATCTAAATCATTTATTGAGTCTGGATCCAGATCTTAAGAGGATTGAAAACTAGGTTCATGTAGGTTTGCAAGGGCTCAGTGATGATCACAGGGCTTGGATAGAGGGTGACCCTGCTTTCAGAGCCTCTGGTCATCTGCTTGCTTGTCTCCAAATTGAATGAGAGGCCCTCTTATTTATTATATGCAGATTTATTTCAGGTTGTTTTTTTTTTTTTAAAGAGATGTTTACTACCATGGGATTTTTTAAAAAAACCTTTATCCTTAATATCAGCAATTCTGATTATTAAATTTGAAGTTTGGTCTCAGTGGAAGAATTATTCAATGATCTCTGGTCTCGTGCCTTTTATTTTTCAGTGTAATTCAGAAAGGTACTCTCAGTATGATGAATGTAGTAAGGATGTTGCAGAACATCTTTAGAGCAGATTTACAAATAGCAATAGCATTTAGTCTTATATACCGCTTTACAGTGCTTTTCAGCCCTCTCTAAGCGATTTACAGAGTCAGCATATTGACCCCAACAATTGTCCTCATTTTATCGACCTCAGAAGGGTGGAAAGCTGAGTCAACCTTGAGCTGGTCAGGATGGAAGGAATCGAACTGCTGGCAATGCAGTTCGATTCCTTCCAGATTCACAGGGCCTGGTGGCTCAGCAGACTGATAGCATTGTGATTAACACCAGCTGTCTGCAATTACTGTAAGTTCGAATCTCACCAGGCTCAAGGTTGACTCAGCCTTCCATCCTTTCTAAGGTAGGTAAATTGAGGACCCAGTTTGTAGGGGCAATAAGCTGACTTTGTATAAATATACAGAAGTATGAAGGCTATTTCTTAACGCATTGTAAGCCGCCCTGAGTCTCCGAAGAAGGGCGGCATATAAATCAAATTAAAAATAACAACAACAACAACAACAACAACAACAATAATAACAACAAAAACCCTATAGAAATTACAGATTGCTCGTTTTTTGAACTAAGTTGTTAAAAGTTTATAACCTGCATTTCTGTGTTGGCTGGGTGGTGGTGGGGGTGAGTTAAAAGTTCCTTCTGGTAGGGAAACAGAAGTGAAAAAATGCTATCAATCAGCCAAGGAGGAATTCCTTCCTTGGTCAGGCAGCCTGATACATTCCACTGCTTGGCTGTGGGAAAACCACACTCTTTCTACGGCGGATACAGGAGTGAAGAAAGCTGGTACGATAAGGTGGATGATCCCTCTGCCTTCCACCTGTCCTGGCCCAATCCCTAAAATAAAATCCCTGGTTGGCTTTTGGATATGATGATGATGCTTCATTTGCATGGTGCTCTGGGCCCTCTTTGTGCTTGTCCTCTGATTATATTCCTTACATTCAGCTATAAATTGAATTTATTGAAATCCAGTTCTTCCAAATCCTTCATCATGAAGCTACCAACTTATCCCTACAGCTCTTGGGCGCTTCTATTAATATTTTAAAAATGCAATCCCTGAAACAACACCTCCCCCCCAAAAATATTGTTGTTCAAGGGCAAATATTGCAGTATTGTTAAGATGTATCTCACAAAGAGCTAAGGTTGTTACAAAGAAAGCAACATGTGGTTTAATTCAATAGAACTTTCCTTAGAATTTTAATCATTCTGATGTCTTGAGGGATGCTGGATGTGAGTCTTAAAGATTATATTCTTTGGGTTTTTCTGTTTTTCGATATTCTTGCTATCAAAATGCTGGCTTCATACTTGTTTAGGTAGTGTAGCTTTTAGATGAGCTGCTATATTTTGGAGGCCTCTCCCCTGTTTTGTTTTGTTTTTTAAAGGTGATTCTCCACAAAGGTGGTTTGTAATTGTAATCCCTGGATGTTTTCCTCTTTTACAGGTTCTGTGGTCTCCAGCGGCTCAGCAAATAATGTGACAGTTGAGAAAGCCTCTGCACATGCAGAAACCAATGGCGAGAATCCAGAGCCCTTGTCTCCCGGACTCACTCAGAGCAAAGCCTGCAACTCGAAGAGCTATCATAAACAGTTGGCCGCCCTCAATTGTTCTGTACGGGACTGGATAGTCAAACATGTCAATGCCAACCCGCTCTGTGACCTGACCCCCATCTTCCATGACTATGAGAGATACTTGGCTGACATAGAGCAACAGGGCCTCGCTGGCAACAGCAGCTCTGGAAGCAGCAGCAGCAAAGCCACCGAAACTCAGCCTCGTCCTTCTTTTGGGAGCACCGCCCTTCCGCAGGCCTCCACGTTTTTGTTCAACAGCAGCAAATCGGAGGAGGTCCTCGGGAAGAAAACGGAATTGGAAAAGAAAATAGAACTCAAACCGGCAGCTGCCTCCACCACCACCTTGTTCGCTTTTGGCAAAAGTGACAAATCTGGTCCGAGTTCAGGGACGGCAGGGTCTGGATTCTCATTTTCCTCTGGAAATGGAGGTTTGTTTGGCAAAGATGCAAGCCAGACCAAAGTGGCTTCTTCCTTTTCCAATAATGCATTAGATGCTCCGGCCGAAAAAGCTGGCAACGCACAAAGTAAGTACGATGTTGTTTTAGAGATTGTGAAATGGTGTGATCCCATTTAACTCTCTGGTCATCTGTTCCCATTTGTGTTGCAGAGTGCCTGTCACTACATATGTTTAGGGGGTGGACCATAAAGGTTTACAAATTCACTACTTTTGTTTGGGCGTGATTAATGGCTGTATGTTCATTAGTGTCCAGATTGAAAGCGAGGCACCTTTCTCCCGATCTGTCTCTGTTGCAGAGAATCAAAAGAGAGAAGCTGCATGGTGGAATTGTTTGGACTGCAAGGGAACGTTTTGTAGCCCCTGATGGCTTCTTCCCAGCCACTAAACATTCTGTACTAGACAGAGTGTTTTTTGTGCTTCTGCTGCCAAGCTATGGCAAGCAGTCTAAGTCTGGCTCAGTTTTTCCCTGGAGTCCTGTTAACATACCGTATTTTTCAGAGTATAAGACGCACTTCCACCTCCCCCCCCCCCCCAATGTGGGTGGAAATGTCTATGCATCTTACACCAAATGTTACCAAAGCCCTGCCCACCCACCGGGCCCAACCCTTCGGCTGCTGTCAGCCTCCACGCATCACATTTTCGGCCTCCACACGCCCCATTTTTGGTCTTCACGCGTTGCATTTTCGGCCAGTTCCAGGCGGTGGGGAATCCCGCCGCCGATCCCTGCCACCTGGAACTGGCCGAAAATGCGCCACTCGGAGGCCAAAAATGAGGTGTGCAGAGGCTGAAAGTGTGACGTGCGGAGAAGGCGATCAGCGGCAATGTACTGTGGCAATCCCGGCAGCCTGGAACGCGTCTAAAATGGAGCATGTGGAGGCTGAAAAGGCAACACGTGGAGGGCAAAAATGTGACGCATGGAGGCGGCAATGGGTTGTAGCGATCCCCACAGCCTGCAACAGCTGATTGGCGGTATTCTGGGAGGCCGATCCAACCACCAATCAGCTGCTCGTGCTAAATCAGGCTGTGATAACGTGCTGAAGCTGACCAGGCTGTTTGCTGTTTGCTGCAAGGATGCTAGCCAGATGAATACTGATGGATGCTGGTAGGCAGAGGCAGAAATTTTTCTGGGGTGTTGGCTATTCCTGCCAGCTTGATGTTATCTGCAAGTTTGATGAATTCCCCTTCTATTCCCTCATCTAAATCATTTATAAAGATATGGAAGACAGAACTTTGGGGTGCCTCACTGCTTACTGTCCTCCATGTAGATATATTTCCATTAAGGACTAAACTTTGAGTGTGGTTTGTCAGCCAGTTAAAAATCCATCTGGGTGACGCTGTCTATCCCACATTTTTCTAACCTACTAAGCAGTAGGTTGTGGTCTACTTTCTCAAATGCCTTACTGAAATCCAAGTATATTATTGTCCACAGCATTTCACTGTTCCACTAATTTAGTCACTTGGACAAAGAATGAAATAAGATTTGTTTGGCATGATCTGTTTTTGACAAACCCATGTTGGCTTCTGGTAACTTTGCTTGCTTCTAGGTCCGTGATGGCGAACCTGTGGTATGAGTGCCAGAAGTGGCACGCAAAGCCCTCTCTGTGGGCACGTGTGCCATCACCAGCTGCTCTTCCGGGTTCTGTCGCGCACATGCACGCCGGCCAGCTGCTTTCTTCCGGGTTCCGGATTACCGTTTTTTTCAGAGTATAAGATGTACCTTTTTCCCTCCTAAAAGAGGCTGAAAATTTTGGTGCATCTTATATTCTGAATGTAGCTTTTTCGAAGCTTTTTTTCAGCCCTAATGTGCTAATCAGGCACTAGCGAGCAATCTTCCCAGCTTTGCCTGCTCCCTGGACTCTCAGCTGTGCTTTAACGAGACACTAGCGAGTGAAGCTTTGCTTCATGCTTTGCTCCGACTCTCAGCTGTTCTTTAGAAGCATTTTTTCAGCCCTAACTAGGCGCTAGCCGAGTGAAGTGATCTCCCCGTGCTTTGCCTTCTTTTCTCATTGCTGCTTCCTCTCAGCTGGGCCTTAGAAGCTGTTTTTTTATCCCCAAGCAGGGGATAAAAAAACCAGCAAACTAATATGCTGAAGTTGACCAGACTAAGGACGCTAGCCAGATGAATACCTGGTAGACAGATTTTTTTTTTCCTATTTTCCTCCCCAAAAAATAAGCTGCGTCTTATACTCCTGTGCGTCTTATACTCCAAAAAATATGGTACTATTCTGGTATTTTTCCTACATACATCGGTTAACTCTGATTAGCAAAAACGTTCATCTATTTCTTACTGGGTGGCATTAGCAAAAGTTCGCCTATCTACTTGGTAGGATGGCCTGTAGGATACACTTACGGCCGTCATTTTATTTTTGTCCTTTTGCATTGACTCCATATGCATTCTAGGAGGCTTTCATGTTTCTTTTGTACATTTCTGTAGAGAGGAAGTGATCTCTCTTCTTTTGTTGGGCCTGTTTTGTTTTATATTTTAGAATTTAGAATAACAGAGTTGGAAGGGACCTTGGAGGTCTTCTAGTCCAACCCCCTGCTTAAGCAGGAAACCCTACATCACTTCAGACAAGTCTGTATCCTTCCAGCATATAGATATAGATATAGATATAGATATAGATATAGATATAGATATAGATACAGATATAGATACAGATACATATAGTCTGTATCCTTCCCGCAGTACCTTCCAGTTGTGAGTTTCCTCACACCAGGTTTTGGTAATGGCAACTATATCGTACATGTCCTCCTATTCTAGTACTTCAAGTTTACCCTCTTTGTTTCCCAAACTTTGAGCATCTTAAGTCCTTTATGGCTGACCCTAGGTATGTCTCCTACATCTCCTGCTTTATATCTGCTATTTTCTTCCTTTCCATCATCCCTACCTCCTCGTTTGATTGGATGTCTTGGGGTTTATGCTTGGGATTAGGTCCTAAAGATCCTAAAAAATGGTCACCCTTCTCCCTCAGTTTTAGTTCAAAGCCCTTCGGATAAACTGAGCTCGTCATCTCCGTTGCATTCTTCCTGGTTCTTTTGAGATGCAGCCCATTCCCTGACAGAAACCCTTCATGTAACTAATGCAGACCATGTTCTAGGCCTGCATGTAAACAGTGATGATAAGAAATACATTCGGCAAATACATAGTGAAAATTATCTCTGTTCTTGCTTCTGAATTTCAAGGGCTTGTAAATGCTGAGAATGGGTAGAGGTACTGTTCATTTCTGTCCCTTTTCTCATTGGGAACAGAGCAATTGTGTCAAAGAGGTGTATGTGTACCTTTTAAATTCAAAAGTGGGATGTTCCAATTTACCAGAGGGAAGTAGGAACGATTGGAAATGAGCTTGATACGATCGAAACCTAACAAGAGAGCTGGCATTCAGGCTGGAAGAGCTGTTTTTAAGTTTCAAATGTTTCAAAATGCAAAATGTTTTGAATGCCTCTGAAATATTTCCATATATTTTCATTCAGGGCCCACACCCAACAAGATTTTTTACATACAGCGGTACAGTTGCATGAACAATAAGGATACTGGCATGAAATGTAATTGTGATCTGAAATACTTTTCCCAGCAGGGGGTGATGAAGAGGAGGAAGAGCCACCTAAAGTAGTCATTAACGAAGTCAAAGAAGAGGACGCCTTTTACTCAAAGAAGTGAGTTAACTTTTGGGCTTGCAAGTAAAGCTAGCATTGTGTACGTGTATCAAAAGGGGGCATGGTGGCTCAGTGGTTAACGATGCTGAGCTTGTCAGCTGGAAAACCGACAGCCTGGGTTTGAGACCCAAGCGCTGTGCAACGGGTGAGCTCCTGCTCTTGCCTCAGCTGGTGAACAGCAATTCGAAAGCAAGCAAATGCAAGTAGATAAATAGGTACCACATCGGTGGGAAGGGAGCAGCGTTTCATGTGCCGCAATGTATAGTCATGCTGGCCACATGACCACAGAAATGCTTTCAGACAACTGGCTCCCTAGGCTAAGAAACAGAGATGACCACCGTCCTCTAGAGTTGGATATGACTGGACAGGAGAAATCTTTATCTTTATGTGTGTAATAAGTTTTATAACAACCAGTTGTGGTATTCAGCCGGTTCGGACCAGTTCACGAGAACCGGTAGTGACGACCTGCGGGTGGACCCGCCTACCCGTCCCGACCCTATGCCATCCTATTTAGCCACGTTTTCTAAACCACATGTATGCATGCAAGCCATGCGTGCAAGCAAAGCTCATGCACGGAAGGCCGCGCGCATGTGTTCACATTTTCGGTGCACGGCGAACCGGTGGTAAAATTATGTGAAACTCACCTCTGATAACAACATGGTATGCCGCTATCTCTATTGCCTTAGCCACTATGTGGGTAGTCCTCAAGTTATGACCATAATGGAGCCTGCCTATGACAGTTGTAATGGGTGACAGTTGTAAAGTGGATTGGTCATGTGACCAACCCGATTTTAATGACTTTTTTGTTGAGTGACCACAATGAACCAGCGGGCGTGGTTTCACCAGAAACTGGAAGTAAATGCTGGCTTTTGGCAAAACCATCGTGAAATGTGGTCACATGGCCAGGAAACACTGCAAATAACGGTAAATGCAGCCCAGTTTCTGAGTGTGGTCACATGACCATGGGGAAGAAGGGCAACTGGTGGAACTCGGAATCTGAGTCGTATGCAACCCCCAAATAGGGTACATCAGAACTTTAAATGGTCACTAAGTGATCAGTTGTAATTTAAGGACTACCTGCATGTCTTGCATTCTTTTTCTTTACATCTTGACTGCTTGCATTTTTACCAGTTGGTTGTATTTATTACGGAATACGCTTATGGAAGTATTTATCTTTATTCAGCTGCTTTTCTGATCTCTCTTATTTCCTGAAAACGACCTGCATGGATTTTAATTTTGTCGTGTCATTCAGTCTAACTGAAAAAGAACTCATTGATTTCTGTAGATCCTCTGAAATAATATTTGCATTAATACAAGATACTTGCTTTTTTTTTTTTTAATTAACTCGTTCTTTTGGTACAGATTCAGTCGAGGGCATCTTCAGCCTGTGTATATTCACTTCCCGGATGATGTGCTTTTTTTTCTTTTTTACGAATGAAGGCAAAAATATGTGTCCCAGGATAATGTTGCAGGATCCAATCTTTTTTCTTTCTTTTTTTAGGTGCAAAGTCTTCTACAAGAAAGATAACGAATTTAAAGAAAAAGGAGTAGGAACGTTACATTTAAAACCTGCCAGTAATCAGAAGACTCAGTTATTAATACGGGCAGATACCAACTTAGGTATGTGACTTTTCTTAAAAATCGTTTTGCAACATACATCTTTATTATAGGGTTTAGGCCAGTGATGGCTAACCTTTTCCGGACCAAGTGCCCAAAGTGTGTGCAGGCATGCGCGCGCATGCCCAAACCCCCAAAATGCAATGCACACATGGCCCCTGTGCATGCGGTCCCCTCACACGCCCCCCGCACATGCACAGCAGAGACCCGAAGACCAGCTGGCTGGCAGGTGCGTTTGCGTGCACAGCGGAGCTGAACTGCGGCGACGGCTCGCGTGCCCACAAAGAGGGCTCTGGGTGCCACCTCTTGGCACATGTGCCATAGGTTCGCCATCACAGATTTAGGCTTTTCAGTCCATGAATTATTGATTGGCTTAAAAAAAACAATTTAAGCCGCATTACGGGGGAAAAAAAACCCCACAATTTAAAACAATGAAAGTATAACAAAAAGTAGCAAACCATCCAAGAAGTCCTTAAAATCATGAGTTAAAAACCTGCTTATACACCAAGGGTTTGTCTTAAACCAGTTTCTCAACTTCGGCAGCTTTAAGATATATGGACTTCTCTCAGAATTCCCTAGTCAGCATGCTGGGAGTTGAAGTTCACACATCTTAAAGCTGTTGAGGTTGAGAAACACTGGTCTAAATAAAAATGTGTTGCCCATTGTTGGAAGAACATAAGGGGAGTGAACTTAATCCCTTCTAGCAGAAACTTTTTCAGAACTTGCTAGCAATATTGAGAAAAGCCTCTTCCTGTCATCAAAGTTATTTCTGATAGCCTAAGAGAAAATCTGAATGCCTGTGTAACACTAAGACACAACGTGGTCTTTTTGCTAACTTGTTTCATGTCAAATTGGACTTTACGGGGTATAAACAAATTGTTGTATCATGTCCCAAAATAAGCTACTAGTTTCACTAGTAGTAGTGAACTAGTTGTAGGAGTTGCATGGTTAATAAGCCAGACTAGCTTTATTCCAGAGGCTCTTTCCAAGCACTTCAAAAGCTGAGCCACCTACCTAAAATACATTGCAGTAGGTCATCTGAGTTGAAAAGAAGGAAGAGATCACGTTGCTAAATCTGAGCTTTCCTCATCAGTCTTAACTATATCTCGTGAACTGTTGAAGCCCAAACATCCAGGAAGCACTTTTAAAGTACACACACAAATTTTCAGAGGAGATGGAACACTGTCCAGGAAAGCTAGATCTGATTTTGAGTGACCAAGAAGACTCTGCTTATCTGGAATCAGGTTCTGTTTGTTCTTATTCAGAGCAGCATAGCCTCATGACATGCTGTAGGATTCAAGCAGGTCCCTCGCATGTAAATAAAAAGGAGAGAGCGTTCGAGAAGAAGACCTTGAGAATTAATCTCTGCAAATGTTGGGCATTCTGGAAAGCAGTCTCATTCCATCCAGGAACCCCGAAAGGTTGGTGGTATCAGAAACCACCAGGAGGCCCAGCAAAAGTATTATGGGCACATTCCCATTGTGAACCATTCATCTAAGACGACCAAAGTAACCTTATCCAGTAAACAGGTCTCCCCTCCATGAACATGCCCAGTGTTTATTTCTGTTAATTTTTTATATCCCCAGACCAGTGGTGGGTTGCTACGGGTTCGCCCCAGATCGGGTGGAGTGGTAGCAGCGGTGGCGGGAGGCTCCACCCACTCGCCCAGACACAGAAGCATCAAGTGCGCACGAGCGAACCGGTAGCAAACTAAATTGAAACCCACGACTGCCCCAGACTCATACGACCCTGGATACCTTTAAAGGAATGTGTGAAATTATTTTAAGAAAAGGCCCACTCTAAATTATAGTGAGAGATTATGCTGTACAAGCCCTGTAGATATAAATGTGTAATTTTGAGCCTTATGCCTGTCAAATAACTACTAGGTTATACACACACGCACACATTCACACGCTTGCATCATCGCATCTCAGGTGCTTAGCAGCCAGTTCACCTTTAGAGACGGTGACAGTTTCTGACCAAAAAAAAACCACTCAAAAATCTCCACCCAAAGGAATGAATGGCTTCACCTAAAGACTTCTGGATTCACTGAACACCCCCACCACATGAGTGCTTCGATTTACAACAGTCATGACTTAACAATAGAAAGTGCAGACTGTTATTACGGTCATAAAGCTGGGGACTACCTATAATTCAGCTTGGTTTTATTGTTTTCCCACAGTAAATTTGACTTTTCCTTCCTTCCTTCCTTCCTTGCAGGCAACATATTGCTGAACATTTTGCTGCCTCCCAAGATGCCGTGTTCGAGAACAGGGAAGAACAACGTTCTCATTATTTGTGTCCCCAACCCCCCCATCGACGAGAAGAATGCCACAGTCCCTCTGCCAATATTGATAAGGGTGAAGACAAGTGAAGACGCAGATGAGTTGCACAAAATTTTGCTGGAGAAAAAAGAGGAGGTCTGAGACTTGGCGTTTCCAGCGTCACGTGGAAACGCCGCCAAAACCGCTGCTGCTCTTTCCCCCCACTTGACTCTTTAGTAGTAAACTTTTTAACTCATCGCTCTCATATTTTAAGGACCGTCTTAGAAATTCTGAAGGGTTTGAATGAGGGAAAGAAATAGAAGGTGGGGCCGATGAAACTTGTAACCTTAGCATGGATCTTTTCTCCCCTTCTGATTTCGAAATATCTACTGTGCAAACCATCTGTCAATAAAACGTGCGTACGAAATGCAAAAAAACAAAAAAAAAAATCTTTATTGGTTGTATGTGAAAATTTAAAGTTGCTAAAAGCCCCCTAATTAGTATGTATTCTATATATAGAAACAGTATAACAAGCAAATTATTTAGCTGAGAGAAAGAAAAGAAAAAAGATAGCTAAATTGTATTTTCCGGTTGGATTTGAAGTCTTTTTCTGTTAGGGAAATTCCCTTTACAATTTGTGTTCTGTTAAAAGCTTTGTTTTTAAGTAACAACTGTTGGAAAGTTTTGATTATAGAAGGTCCAGGAGATAGTTTGAATGTTATCTGGAGAACAATTCCAAAATAATTGTCGTTTCTTGATGCTTAACTGCAAGATTCACAGCCCTGTCTTCAGAGAAGAAGATGGCGTCAAGAGGCTTGAGGCAAAACTTTGAAAACCTTCATTCATCTCAATTCTAATTAGAGCCCATTGATGAAGAGCTTGGTGGAGCGGCTTCTTCCTTCTTTGTCTCCTTTAGCTCTTCCCAATCTGTTTTTTCCATAGGTTGAATTTGCAAGCACGTAAAAAAAATGCAAGTAGAGAAAGAGGGACCACCTTTGGTGGGAAGGTAACAGGGTTCCGTGCACCTTTGGCGTTGGGTCATGCCAGCCACATGACCACGGAGACGTCTTTGGACAGCGCTGGCTCTTCGGCTTTGAAACAGAGATGAGCACCACCCTCTAGAGTCGGGGATGACTAGCACATATGTGCAAGGGGAACCTTTGCCTTTTTATCCTCTTGTTAAATTGGGAGGTGCTGACTTTGTCACAAAATCTAAGTGCAGGTAGTCCTTGATTTAACAACAGTTCATTTAGGGACTGTTCAAATACAGAACGGCATTGAAAAAGGTGATTTATAACCATTTTTCACACTTAAGACCTTTGCAGCATCCCGATGGTCGTGATAAAAATTTGGACACTTGGCACGAAGGGTCGATAAAAATCAATTATTTTTTTTAAAAATTGATTTTTAAAAAATTTAAAACAGATTATTTTTATTTTTAAAAAATTAATTTTAATAAAATGCTTTTGGAGTAAAAAAAAAAATCTATCTAAAGATAGTTTTCCATTTAAGATACATGAATAATTTAGTTTATTCAGCCTGAAATGGAGCTTTGTTATGTAGCCATGAGGCTGTATATTCTGCAATATTGGGACTGTCGGTGAGTCAACAGCGGGTCAGAGGAGGAGCCGCTGTGGGACAGAGGTAAGTTGCTCTTTAAAAATTACAATTTAAATCAAGTTGATTTAAATCATGATTTAAATCGACTTGATTTAAATCAAATCTACCCTGCAACTGACTCAGATTTTTGACTTGCAGTGCCCCAAAATCATGGGATCCCCTTTTGCGATCTGACAAGCAAAGTCAACGAAGAAGCCAGATTCACTTAACAACCGTGTCACTAAAAAAACCTGCAGTGATTCACTTTAACAACTGTGGCAAGTAAGATTGTAAAATTGAGAAGGGGTGACTCACTTAGCAAGGAAATTTTGGGCTCAATTGTGGTCTTAAACTGAGGATTGCCTGTACCCTCTTAATCTCTGTACTTCGGCCCACAAACTCTGCAGCTGACCGAGGTTGTTTAAATATCTTATTGGAGAATGTTCCACAAGAAACAGATCGTAGTAAATCTCCCAAAATAAGAACAGGAGTACTGCATAAGAAGAAATGTGAGTCAATGTCTTTTTTTTATCAGATTGAAGTTCTGAACCTTTAAAGGAATGTGTGAAATTATTTTAAGAAAAGGGCCATTCTAAATTATAGTGAGAGATTATGCTGCACAAGCCCTATAGATATAAATGTGTAATTTTGGGCCTTATGCCTGTCAAATAACTACTAGATTAATTTGTTAATATTAAAGTGGGTGAGACATCAGAAATGCTTATGTGCATATTAATATTCTGGAAATATTCATATTGAATGGCCAAGAGTCTCAGTAATAATATTCTTATCTTTTGGAAGGTGTCTTTAATATCCTCTATGATTTTTTTCCCCTTTTTACTCCGTTTTGAATCCTGTACAAGTGAATTGTCTGCTTTTTCTGATCAGCAGACAGTATCTGCATATTTTGAACAGAACTTTTATTTGGAGGAGCTTCGTCTTACAGGAATGTATGTTTGTATATATGCATTTGGCAGATTGCAAAGTAAACTGTATAAAATGATCCATGTATTAAGAGAAACTGACATTTCAAACAGAAACTACGATTGTGCCTGACATTTTGGAGAGCTGCTTAAAAGGCTGAAAGTATGCTCTTGGGCAAGGCAAGTCAGTTGATTGCTGGGAAGGTATAAAAATTAAATGAATAAAGCAGATAATATACTAGGAATATTTCCCAAAGGACAAGTAGAATGAGGAAAGGAAATCCAGACACTTATGCCAGCTACTTTTGAAAATCTGAAGCTCGAAAAACAACTTTCAACTCTTTAAAAATGTCACAAAAGATGGGCATCATAAAGGTAGAAAAAGGGCATTTTAATGTCAAGGAGCTTCTGATTTTAACTGTCAAGGGCTTATTCTTCATTTTCTGTGTTTCCTGCCCCCAAATGATAAATGTTTTTCATTAGTTGACATTGAGTGGCACAGAGCAAGGTACATTCAGGGTTAGGGAAAAGGCTAGGAAATGCAAGTGTAATCTGCTTATTTTAATGTCTATCTGCATGATTTCTGTCTGCTTACGTTTCAATCCAATTTTAACGGAACACTTTTTAGTTGAGTGTCTGCCCGTTGCTTGAAATTAACTTCTGGTAAAAGAAGTCCTGCACTGTTTTGAGGCTGACCATCCAAAAGTAAAGCTCTTACAAGGAAAACCATTATAACGAGCTAGTTCAGAAAAAAAAAAAAATTATATGAACTAGTTTATTATAATGGCTTGTTTTGGGGAGTGTGCGTGACAATTACCTCACTGTTCCTTGAGGAAGCAGTCCATTAAAAGAGCCTGCAACTTATGAAGAAATTCTTATTCCTGCACCTTTTGGAGCATTTTGCTTTAACAGATTAACAGAGTTGGAAAGGATCTTGTAGGTCATGTAGTCCAACCCCTTGCCGAAGCATGAGACCCTACACAGTTTCTGACAGATGGCAGTCCACTCTCTTCTTGAAAGCTTCCAGTGCTAAAGCTCTCACAACTTCTGAAGGCAACTTCTGCTCCACTGGTTGATTGCTCTCACTGTCAGAACATTTCTCCTTATTTCTAGGTTGAATATCTCCTTGTTCAGTTTCCATCCATTATTCCTTGTCTGGTCTTCAGGTGCCTTGGAAAATAGCTTGACCCCCCTCCTCTCTGTGGCAGCCCCTCAAATATTGAAAGACTGCTATCATGTCTCCCCTGGTCCTTCTCTTCACTAGACTGGCCATGCCCGGTTCCTGCAATCGCTCATCATATATTTTAGCCTCCAGGCCCCTAATCATGTTGGTTGCTCTTCTCTGCACTCTTTCTAGAGTCTCAACATCATTTTTATAGTGTGATGACCAAAACTGGATACAGTATTATAGGTGTGGTCTTACTAAGGCTTTATAGAATGATATTAGTACCTCCCTCAATCTGAATTGTATCCCTCAATGCAATTTAGGATTGTGTTGGCTTTTTTGGCTGCCGCCGCACACTGCTGACTCTGGTTGTCCACTAAGACTCCAAGATCCCTCTCACAGTTACTGCTATTAAGCCTGGTTTCACCCAGTCTGCTGCTGCTGAAAATGTCAGATCTTTGTGTTGTGTGTTTCAAGCAGATTGACTGGATTGTGGGGGTGCATTACACCACTTTCTGCAAAAGTTCAAGCACTCTTCCTCCCCAATTCCCACAGACTAAATTATACATTCAAACTCTCATTTTCTAAAATAGAAGAATTAAGTTTGGGGTTAATTAATCCATTCCTTGAAATGATTGAAATTATGACAGGAATTCCGAGGGGAAAAAAGACATGCGTGTAAACTGTAAAATTTTGGTCTGGATTATAGCAATAGCACTTAGACATATATACCAGTTCATAGTGCTTTTACAGCCCTCTCTAAGCGGTTTACAGAGTCAGCGTATTGCCCCCCAAAATCTGGGTCCTCATTTTATCCACCTCAGAAGGATGGAAGGCTGAGTCAACCTTGAGCAGGTAAGAACAGATCTTCTTTTTGTGATAATTTTGCAGAATCTCTTAAGAATTTGTTTTAAATTATTAATGTGGTTCCCCCTCCTCCTTTTTTTGGTGCAGTAACAATAGCACTTAGACTTATATACCGCTTTACAGTCAGTAAAAAATCTTTACCCAAATGAGCCTATTTGATGAAGGTATGTTGTCTTCGTTTGTAGCAAAATCACTTCTCACCTTGTAAAGTGAGTCAGTGGTTGATTTCCTTCTTGTAGAGTTCAATAATTATCATTTCCCTGAACTCACAAAACTGTTCTTGGATCATGGCAAACGGAAACAGTTCGGGAGCAACTCAACTCCCGATTATGTCTTTTCTCCAAATAGCAAATGGGGTTGATAGGGTTCCACTGATATGGTGAATCTGCTTCTGGGCTGTATCATTTTAACTGGCTTCCCTAATCTGGTAGCCACTGTATAGTGTTAGGACTACAACTCCCATCATTGTTGGACACTGTAGCACGGCCAGCCCAGAGACAGAATCATCGCGATTTTAAAGGGGTAAAATTCAGTGGTGAAATCCAAATTTTTTTAATACCGGTTCTTGGTGGGTGTGGCAGGGGAAGGATACTGCAAAATCTCTACTCCCACCTCACTCCAGGGGAAGGATATTGCAAAATCCCCATTCCCACTCCACTCAGGCCAGCCAGAGGTGGTATTAGCTGGTTCTCCGAACTACTCAAAATTTCCGCTACCAGTTCTCCAGAACCTGTCATAATCTGCTGGATTTCTCCCCTGGTAAAATCCCCTTTGAAATAAGATTTTTCTGCAGATTCTGTAGAGAGTCTTTTGCAAGGGAGAAAATGGTCTTGCAGCTTCTTTTCCGCTGTTCTCCCATTTGAAATGCGTGTCAGCAAAATACGTGCAGCTACATTAAAAAAAAAATTAAATACGGTAGGTGGGGCTCTAACTTAATTTTATTACCTTCATAGGGAGGAAAAAAAGACTAAAGGCTCCATCGTTCTAACATTCTAAATTATTTTCAACAGAAGCTGCTCAATAT